GGCGTCAAAACCACAGGATGATTGCGATTATACCAGAGATCAACTACCGAATTACTACACTGCTAATGGGGTATTGTACATTTAAAAATTTAAAAATTTTAAACTCTAATGCATTATTTTGTAATATTTTGTAAAAGGATTTGGGTCATATTACAACCAACACCGGAAATCCGATCTACGCAAACAACGCGTCCCTAACAGTAGGTCGTACAGGACCAGTTGTATTAGAAGACCGCCATCTTCTGGAGACCCTCAGCCATTTCTCACGTGAACGCATCCCGGAACGTGTGGTCCATGCAAAAGGTTCCTCAGCCGCAGGTGTTTTCCGTTGCACAGCGGATATAACCCACCTAACAACTGCAACAGTTTTCTCTCAAATCGGAAAAACAACACCTATCCGTGTCCGATTCTCAACAGTTGCTGGAAATTTAGGATCTGCTGATACAGTCCGTGACCCACGAGGTTTCGCTGTTAAATTCTACACGGAGGATGGTATCTGGGACCTGGTTGGAAACAACACTCCTATCTTCTTCATTCGCGACCCTGTTTTATTCCCACTGTTCATACACTCACAGAAACGTAACCCTGTGACCAATGTCCAGGATATGAATGCTTTCTGGGACTTTATCTCCCTACGCCCGGAGACAACCCATCAAGTGTTGATCCTTATGTCTGATAGAGGTATCCCAGATGGTCATCGTCACATGCATGGATATGGATCGCATACATTCGCGTTAATGAACAGCAATGAAGAGAAAACCTATTGTAAATTCCACTTCAAGACCCAGCAGGGTATCAAGAACCTCCCAGTGAAAGAAGCAGAGAGACTAGCTGGGTCCTCACCGGATTACGCCCAGAAAGATTTATACAACGCAATCGAAGGAGAGAACTTCCCCAAATGGAAGCTGTACATTCAAACCATGACAGAAGCACAATCACAGTCTTGTTCCTTTGATCCCTTTGACGTGACCAAAGTCTGGCCCCAAGGTGACTACCCTCTACAATCCGTAGGTGAATTTGTCCTTAACAAAAACCCAGAGAATTACTTCAGTGAAGTGGAACAACTTTCATTCTCTCCGGGTGCGTTCATTCCTGGTATAGGTCCATCCCAAGACCGGATGTTACTAGGAAGGATCTTTTCCTACCCTGATGCGCATTTATACCGCTTGGGATCTAACTTCACCCAACTGCCTGTGAATGCAGCGTATCACGTGAAGAACTTCCAAAGAGATGGAGTGGATACAATTGATAATCAAGGAGGTGCTCCTAATTATCACCCAAATAGTTTCGGAGGGCCAAAGAATAAACACTCAGCCAAGAAGACATATCCTACTATAAGAGTATCTGGAAATTTGGGCAGGTATGACCTTCGCGATGCTGATAATTTCTCGCAAGCGCGTGTATTTTATCGGAGCACTATCGAGGAACCCGAACGTCAACGCATCGCTGATAACATCGTCGGCGGACTCAAATTCGCAATCAAGCCGATTCAGGCGAGAACTATCGATATGTTCTCACAAGTTGATGAAGACCTCGGTAGGAAGATAAGCAAAGGGTTACGAGGAGAAAATCTAAGCGTCACTTTATAAAATACTAGCTGTTGTCCGCGACTTCGTTCCGGCAGTGTTTAATAAAAATGTAATTCGTTTTTACTCTCTTGTTCAGCTGCAGGTGTTTTCCGTTGTACAGCTGACATAACCCACCTAACAACCGCAACTGTTTTCTCCCAAATCGGTAAAACCACTCCGATTCGTGTACGCTTCTCTACAGTAGCTGGAAATCTAGGATCTGCTGATACAGTCCGTGACCCACGAGGTTTCGCTGTTAAATTCTACACAGAGGATGGTATCTGGGACCTGGTTGGAAACAACACTCCTATCTTCTTCATTAGAGACCCTGTTCTATTCCCACTGTTCATACACTCACAAAAACGTAATCCTGTGACCAATGTCCAAGATATGAATGCTTTCTGGGACTTTATCTCCCTACGCCCGGAGACTACCCATCAAGTGTTGATCCTTATGTCCGATAGAGGTATCCCTGATGGTCATCGTCATATGCATGGATATGGATCACATACGTTCGCGTTAATGAACAGCAACGAAGAGAAAACCTATTGTAAATTTCATTTCAAGACCCAGCAGGGTATCAAAAACTTGCCGGTGAAAGACGCAGAGAGACTAGCTGGATCCTCACCGGATTACGCCCAGAAAGATTTATACAACGCCATCGAAGGAGAGAACTTCCCCAAATGGAAGCTGTACATTCAAACCATGACAGAGGCACAATCACAGTCTTGTTCATTTGATCCCTTTGACGTGACCAAAGTCTGGCCCCAGGGTGACTACCCCCTACAATCCGTAGGTGAATTTGTCCTCAACAAAAACCCAGAGAATTACTTCAGTGAAGTAGAACAACTTTCCTTCTCTCCGGGTGCGTTCATTCCTGGTATAGGCCCATCCCAAGACCGGATGTTACTAGGAAGGATCTTCTCCTACCCTGATGCACATTTATACCGCTTGGGATCTAACTTCACTCAACTGCCTGTGAATGCCGCGTACCACGTGAAGAACTTCCAAAGAGATGGAGTGGATACAATTGATAATCAAGGAGGTGCTCCGAATTATCACCCGAATAGTTTCGGAGGACCGAAGAATAAACACTCAGCCAAGAAGACATATCCAACTATCCGGGTATCTGGAAATTTGGGCAGGTACGACCTTCGCGATGCTGATAATTTCTCACAAGCGCGTGTATTTTATCGGAGCACTATCGAGGAACCCGAGCGTCAACGCATCGCTGATAACATCGTCGGCGGTCTCAAATTCGCAATCAAACCAATCCAGGCGAGAACTATCGATATGTTCTCACAAGTTGATGAAGATCTCGGTAGGAAGATAAGCAAAGGGTTGCGAGGAGAAAATCTAAGCGTCACTTTATAAAATACTAGCTGTTGCCCGCGACTTCGTTCCGGCAGTGTTTAATAAAAATGTAATTCGTTTTTACTCTCTTGTTCTAGACATACTCGTAGTAAGAGTCAATTCTATCACTAAAATTAGCAATTTTAATTTAAAGAAATTAATTATATAAAGTTTTGTCAATAATGCACTTGAGCGCGCCATCTCGAATTCAACTATTGAACTATAACTATGATTGAATCTC